CATGGACCCTCACTTCTTTAACGGCTGAGTCCTGATCTGCACTCTTCCCTTACCTGGATAGGCAGGCCCTGTAGCCCTCAAGGACACCCTGAGACTCCAGGGGTTGCTGCCCATCAGCTGGTGGGCCTCACTTGGTCCGGGTAACCCAGCTCAGGCCCCACAGCCCCCTGTTCATCCCAGGTGACCCAGCACAGGTCCCCTGTCCCACAGCCTCCTGCTGGCCCCTGGTGACCCAGCTCAGGCCCCCTGTCCCACAGCCCCCTGCTGACCCCAGGTGACCCAGCTCAGGTCCCCTGTCCCACAGCCCCCTGCTGGCCCCTGTGTCCCAGCTCAGGCTCCCAGGCCCCACAGCCCCCTGCTCGTCCCCGGTGACTCAGCTCAGGCCCCCAGGTGCCCTGTTCTCCCATCAGGGTGAGCCCTGCTTTGTGCTCAGCCACCTGTGCTCCTTCACCTTCGTGGAAGGCCCTTGCACCTGCGCTCTCAGGGGAGGCCGTGTGCAGAGGCGAGGCAGGAGGTGGAGGGTCTCCTCTTGCAGCAGCCTGCGTGGCTCTCTCCCACCCCCACCCCAGGCCCAGCTCCATGCCCTGCATGGTGCCATCCCACCCTGGTGTCCAGGGCCGGGGCCCCTCTCCTCAGACCCTGCACACGTGTGGCTCTCAGCGTTCGCTCCATGTCCCCTGCAGCCTCCCAGCTGGCATTCACTTCCTCTCATCCAGCGCTGCCCCAGCCTTGGCTACATTTGCAAAATGGAATGCCAGTCAGGCCCCGAGAGGGGCCTGGCCAGCCTGCCAGGATGCTCTTGGTCAGTAACTGGCCATGGGCATCTCTGCACTGTTGGTGGCTGGGGATTCCCATGCATAGCCCGTGGGTTTGACGTGGGGGTCTGAGCCAAACTGAGCCTCCACAGTGAGTCCTCCCTGCACGCCCCCACCAGCTCTGAGCCCAGATGGGATACAGCATCCCCACACATCCCACATGGAGTGTCTGGGAGGTGAGGGAGAAGGCTGCCAGGCTTCCTGTGGCTGGCTGTCTCCGGAACATTCTTTATTTCTTTTTGCACATTTTATGTCGTCTTTATCTGCAGGACACAGAGGCATCTGTCCGCCCATGTTACAGTGGGGTGTGGAGAGGACCCTTTGGTCTGCAGTGGCAGGAATGCTTATCCCCAGGGCTCTTTCCTCCTGCACCCCTGCCCCCGCCCAGCTCCAGGGCCTGCCTGGAGCGGGTGGTGGCTGAGAGTGACTCAGTAGCTGCTGGGTGTCCTTGGCCTGCCTGGAGTTTCCAGTGGGGGTTTGTGAGTGGCCTGCCATGTGGGGGGCCCACGGGGCAAACTCTTTGAATGGTGACCCTGCTTCACTGACTCTAGCTTCTCTTCCCCTGGCTGGTGTCGGTCCAGCCCCATCCACCTCCCTGAGTGTCCAGGGCTCCAGCCAGGACTCCCATGGCCCTGCAGGTGGAGCCTGGCCTTCCTGGGGCCGCTTGTGTGGCTGCCTCTGACTGTGAGGCTCTGACTGGGACCTGACTCATCCCCTCTCCCTGGAGCTGCAGCTGGAGTTCGGAGAGCTGGCTGTGGGGGCTGGGGAGGGTGCTGACCGCTGCCCAGCTCTGCCTGTGCTATGGGAGCTCTGCCCACCAGCAGTGGCCAGAGGCTGAGAGGATGAGGGTGGGGAGGTGGGGAGGCCATGGTGGGGACTGAGCTAAGGAGGTAGGTATGAGGCTGCGGAGGAATCTCTGCACAGGGAGTCTGCTTAGTGGACGTCCAGGGACGCTGGCCGTGCTGAGCTGCTGGTTTGGGCAAGGATGAGTCAGATGGAAATTTACAAGGAGTTGGGCACCCTGGGGGTCAGTCTTATCCACTTGTTGCCCTCCCCTGCGGCCTCAGTCCCCCATTCAGCTCATGACCCCTGGAGAAGAGCCACAGCTGCTGGGGTCCCTCCAGGGATGGCTGGCTCCTCTGTTGCCCTTTCGCCACCAAGGCCAGACATGACCAGAGACACAGGTCACTGGGAACTTTGCCTCTGGTCCTATGTGGGCGGCGCAGTCAGACCCTCACTTTGCCCTTCACACTCGCCCATGTGGCCGGGGCCAGCTGCTCACAGCCCCATGAACTGCATCGGGCAGAGACAGCAGAGAGCCAGGCCCTGCAAAGATTTCACTCAAGGCCTGGAGATGGCGCCTCAGTTGTGACTTGGTCTGGGCTTTGGACGGCACAAGGCAGCACCTTGGAGTGGCAATTCAACCCCTAGAGGAGGTGGGTGCCCTGCACCCCACCCCTTCCCCACAACTCTGCAGGTCTCCAGGGGCAAATGGCAGGGTTCTCATCGTCCCCATGAACAGATGAAGAAGCCCAAGCTGACAGTTGGGGCAGTTGCTGTCAGAGGCCAGGGAGGAGCCTGGTCATGGCTGGACATCAGCCCTTGGCATAGCTCTTGGGGGACCTCTGTGGGGCACAGAGGCCCACCTGGGCCTGCAGGCAATGGTGTCTTGTTCAATCAACCATGGAGCCAAGGGTCCTGGACCCCTGCACGGCCTGACTCTAGTGGGCTTTCAAGTGGAAAGAGAGCCTCAGAGAACCTAGTCACTCCCAGCGTCACCACGTAGTAGCTGCCGTGGCCCTGGGTGAGGGAATTTGACCTTGATTCTGTTTCAGTGGCTGTTGTCTGGGGACATGGGAGGGCTGGAGTCCAGAGGCAGGAGGTGGGGACAACAGAGGGGTCTCATCTTCTAGGACTGGAAGTGGGGCCTTGACCACAGCCCAAGCTCACAGAGGTGCTGAGTAGCAGCCTGGGGTGCCCGGTCCCCCGTGAGGCAGAGCAAAGTGAAAGAGGAGGAGGTGACTGAGGTGGGTCCCAGAAGAGAGAAGCTGGGGTGGGGGCCCCCAGGGAGGGTCTGAGCAGGAGGGGAGCGGTCCCTGGCTCAGGGCCTGCTGTCTGTCCCCAGGGGCATTCCAGGGCGGGGTTCCAGGGCGGGGTGGAGGCTGCCCTGCCGCGTTCCCACAGCCTTCCGCCCTGGCTGGCCACCTGCTCCAGGAGCTTCCAGGCTTCCCAGCCTCCCGTGTTGTCTGGTGCTGTCCCTGGGCTTCCCCTGCACCCTTCCTCCCCCTACTAGGGAGGGTGGAAGCAGCGGGTCCACTGTGTCCCTTGGAAGAAGCTGCAGCCCAGTCCAGAGCCTCCCTGCCCTGAAGGTACTCTCCTCTGCACTGCCCTCCAGGGCATGACGGGAACAGTCCCTAAGGGGTCCCCCAGGAGCTCAGCCACCAGGGTTGGGGGGTGAGCTCAGGCTCCCTTTTCCACCCAGGCCTGGGGAGGTCCTGGTGGGGACCCTCAGCTGTGCGGCCCTGCACTCCCCAGATGGAGTTGCTGGCGGATCTGGGGAGACCCTGGTGTGGGCAGAAGCTAGGAGACTCTGGCCAGCAGACCCCTGCTGGGGGACATACTGCCTGCGGGGGTGAGCAGCTGTGGACTGAGTCATGCTCCGGAAGAAGGAAGACGGAGGAAGCCGGTTCCCCGCCAGCTGCCTCCTGGGGAAAGCAGGAAGGGGGAGGAGGGAAAGGAGGAGGAGACAGGGAGAAGGGAGGGCCCACTCAGGCCAGTTCCCCGGGGCCTGGGGGGTGGCTTTCTCCAAAGCAGCTCTGGGTTTGGCCCCCTGATGGGCCCCTTGAGACCATGGGAGGGGCCTCCCAGGCTCCTCAGGACCAGGAAGGAAGGCACTTCTTCTAGGGACAAGCCTCCAGCCTCCCTCCTGCTCACTTCAGGAGCCCAAGAACCCCCAGGCTTCCCTGAGCTCAGTACAGCTCAGGATGCCAGCCTGCACCCGACAGCGCTGGGTGCAGCCCAGGTGTCCCCTGTCGTGGGAGGCCTCCTGGCCACAGAGCCTCTTGTCCCTGGAGCCCCAGGCTGAGCCCTGGGAGCAGCCTGACTGCAGGTCTGTGATCTCCTTTGGGGCCAAGTCTGCTACCTAGGCCCACCACAGGAAGCGCAGCTTTGCCTATTCACGCCTTTTTCCCTCTCCAGGCACTTAGAAACTAAGAATAGAATTCTAATGATAATTTATTTATTTAAACATTTAATTTTTTAGTTTTAGGTGGACAAAATATCTTCATTTTATTTATTTTTAAAAGGTTTTGTTTTTTAAATACCTTTATTTTTATTTATTTATTTTTATGTGGTGCTGAGGATCGAACCCAGTGCCTCATGCATGCTAGGCGAGCGCTCTACCGCTGAGCCACCACCCCAGCCCACTAATAATTTAAAATTGAAATTTAATAATTGAATTTAATCCTCATGAAAATCCTGTGAATTTGATATTAGTATCTGCATTTTACGTTTGTAGATATCAAGGCTCAGAGAGGCTAATAGACTTGCCCAACGATATGCAGTCAGTGGCAGCTAGACCAGCAGCACAGAAAAATAGCTTTCCTATTTTGGAAAACAAAACAAAAACAAACTAACAAAACAAAATGTATCAGGATTTGTGAGGCTGTTTTCTGGTTTTGGGATCAGGAAGCTTATCCTAGTGAGACCTAATTTGCTCCTCACCAACTCGGGTCTCCGAATACCTGGCCACCCTGCAGCAAAACCAGACCTTACGGTAACATCAGGACTCTGTTATCCGCCACTTAACATTATTTTTACTTTATTTTACCCAGCAACCAACCCAATGAACTTCTACTGTAGACACTGCCCACATGGCAGGCAGGTGCAATCCCGGCCCAACGACCCGGGTTGCTTGGACTCTGTCCCAGGCCAGCTCAGCTCCAGGGTCAGCCAGAGGTTTCAGCAGTTTGCAGTGCAGGATTTGGAGATCCCTCCCGGTGGCTTTTTTTGAGGGGGCAGGTACTAGAGATTGAACTCAGGGACACTTAACCACCGAGCCACATCCCCAGCCCTATTTTGTATTTTTAATTTAGAGGCAGGATCTCACTGAGTTGCTTAGCACCTCGTTCTTGCTAAAGCTGGCTTTGAACATGCGATCCTCCTGCCTCAGCCTCCTGAGCTGCTGGGACTACAGGCATGTGCCACTGCACCTGGCCCTGTGGCCTTCTTTTTTATGGATTTCCCCCTCACTTCCAGGCTGCTGTGGTCACCCCAAACTCTGCCCTCTGGTTCTACCAGTCAGGGATCCCATGGGTTGTCAGGGGTTGGCACCAAGGGAGCTGCCCTGGTATCCTTCCTCCCGAGTGTTGTCCCCACAGTCAGGGTCTGGCTTCAGGCCCCCTCCAGGCCCCTTGGCGAGTGTCTCCTGTGTTTGGTCAGCAACTGTGGCTGTGATTTGCACAGGAGACGGTCTCATGGAGTCATTTCTGTACCCAAACCTCAGAAGTAGCTGGGTGGACAGGGCAGGACTGGATCCCAGCTGGCCTGGGGGCAGGACTGGGTCAGAGTTTGGTGAGACGGGTCTTCCTCCTCTGGCTTGCCTGCTTCAGGGACTGGCCTCTTCGAAGCTGGTCTGGAAGCCGGGCAGGTTTGAGCTGGGCAGCCCCGAGGCGTTCAGACTGGAGCCTTCACCTTCCCAAAATGCAGGGTCAAGATTTCACCCTGGTCTTGGAGGGGGATGGGGGTCCGCTCAGCACCCGAGGCCCCTGGAGTCTCCAAGTTTGCCTCTTTGACCTCCACGCCTGTGGGAAGCACGGCTGATCTCCTCTCCCTGGAGCTGCAGCTCCTGCCTGCACCAAGCCCACACCCCAAGGGGCAAATGTCCCCGCAAAAGACGGGCAGTGGGCCGCCAGCTCCGGGACCGTTCTCCACCTGCCCTGTGGCCCCCCCACTTCTGAAGCTAGCTTGGTGGGAAGGTTTCTGCAGTGGGCCTGGCTCCTCAGTTGGGGCTGGGGGAGCAGCCTCCTCGGGGAGCCACCCTTTCCCATATGAAGCCGAAACCTGGGCATAGGTTTTAGTTGTAGAGGCTCATTCACCTGCCTTCTGGTCAGCACCCAAGAGTTGCACCTTGTTGCCCAGGTAAAATGGAAAAGCTCTGGCCGCTCAACACTGCCAGTCTCTGGGTGGGACCTGGGACTGCACCCGCACAATGAATCCCACACCCCGAAGCCCACATCACCAACCCCACAGATGAGCCCCGGGCCTCAGTCTCAAGACAGCTGAGAAGGTGCTCGAATGTTAAGGTGGCAGGATAGCTGAGCACTGCTGTTTGGAAAGTTGGAAGAAAAACCCTAGAAAGAAAATTTCCAACTGTAAGTAGTTTGTTGGATGAAAAAGAGGGGGGCTTATGCACCCTCTAATGTTGGGTACCTATTAGGGAAGCTACCCTCGTGGTTATTCAGGGTTTGGTTGCTTGGCCTATATTTTCTGGTGTTTTAGATCAACGACTGCATCTTTGTGACCAGGCGTCTCTGAGGTACTATTTCCCTGCACTAAAGCCCGCAGGCCTCAGGCGTGTGAGTGTTAGCACGCCTGGACCTCTGACACCCGGACGTGGATTGTTCCTGGCCGGAGGCCCCGTGCCTCGGCCTGCTCACCGAAGCCCCAGAGGCACTTTCTCCAGGTGGCTCCAAGCACAAGCTCTGAGCCAGGCACATGTTGGGGAGATGGCAAAGGCCCTGCTGCAGACCTCTGTGAGCTGGGGACGCTGCCCCTCCTGCAGCTCCACCTGGCTCAGGGTCACAAAAGCCCTTTGGGCCTCTTTGTTGCAAGGACACCCTCTACCCTGTAACAAGGAGTGGGCAGCAGGCCACATTCAGAGGTTGGCTCACAAGGACACAAGGCCTTTCTTTCTGAGATGCTGGCTGAATGCTGGCCAGTTCTCAGGACCATGCTGGGCCTCTCAGCTGCTGGGCAGCACCTCTAACCAGCAGTGGCAGCTGGCCAGGTGGGGGTGGGGCACAGTCCTGCTCCAGGGCTGGGGAGGGCATCAGTCTGGGGCCGTAGAGGTGCCGGGACTCAGCCACCTGGGCAGCTAGGTGGGACACCCAGCCCTGGGGTTGGGTGCACATGGCCTGCGGAGCGTCAGCAACACCCCGGGGAGGGCTCCCTTACTTCTCAGGCTCCTTACTGTGGCCCTCTCCTCCCTCCCCAGGTCTCCCCAGGTCCAACAGGCTCCCTCTGGCTCTGCAGGGCTCACATTTCAGGCATTAACAGCCATGGCGTCTCCTCACAGGCAGGAAATGGGGGAGGACATCCACCTGGGCTGGGGCAGCAGGGCAACAGGCCACTGGAGAACCTGCGAGGAGGGAATTAGTTTCTGGTCAGGGTGAAAATTTAGATGCCTTTTGTTATGGTACTTTAGCTCACTGTGAACATTCACCTAGTTTATGAGTACCCGGGCTTGCTTAAGCTGGACAGACAGCATCTCCCCATGCCCGGGTTCTCTCTCAGGTCTTGCTGTGTGCACTGGAACAGGTAAAACACCAGGAGGCCTGAGAAGGCTGTGCAGGCCTTGCACGTGTGTGTGCTTGTGTGTGCGTGTGTGCTTGTGTGTATGTGTGTGCTTGTGTGCTTGTGTGTGCCTGTGTGCTTGTGTGTGCGTGTGTGCTTGTGTGTGCTTGTGTGTGCTTGTGTGTGCGTGTGTGCTTGTGTGTACGTGTGTGCTTGTGTGTATGTGTGTGCTGTGTGCTTGTGTGTGCGCGTGTGTGCTTGTGTGTACGTGCGTGCTTGTGTGTGCTTGTGTGTGCGTTTTTGTGTGTGCGTTTTTGTGTGTGCTTTGGGAGGACAATGGTCCTGGTGCCCATATTGGTGTTTGGTCCTGTGTTCATCAGGATTTTGTTGCTGTGACCAAAACACCTGACAAGATCAACTAAGAGGAGGAAAGTTCACTTTGGCTCATGGTTTCAGAGGTTCAGTCCCCCACAGGCTGACTCCATTGCTCTGGGCCCAGGTGAGGCAGAACTTCATGGAAGAAGGATGTGGAGGAAGGAGGCTACCCAGCTCAGGGAAGATGGGAGGCAGAGAGAGAGCAGGGAAGAGGCCAGGGGAGATTCACCCCTGGAGCAGCCACCCCCAGCCACATCCCATGCGCCTATAATATCACCGAGTCAGTCCACTCAAACTAGGATGGACTGACCACATTACAGCTCTCATAATCGAATCATTTCACCTCTGAATATTCTTGCATTAACTTAAGCTTTTTGGAGGATGCCTCATATCCAAATTATAACATTCCACTTCTGGTCCCCCCAAAGTCATTACCATCTCACAGTGCAAAATACATTTAGTCCATCTTCAGGAGTTCTATTAATATTTCCCGTACTCCTCGGAAGACTAAGTCCTAAATCTGCTGGGACATTCAAGACAAACTGTGGCTATGATCTCCTGTAAAGATGCAAAAACAAGTCACCTACACTCAACACACAGTGGCACAGGGTAATGGTACCATCCCAAAGGGAGAATAAGGCATAGGGTGAAGGGAGGGGACCAGTGCAAACCAAAGCCCAGCTGGGCTAACAGGTCCTGGGATGCCTGCACAGCACCTGACACTGGGCAGATGTGCGCCCTCCCAGGGCTCGGCAGCCCTGCCCTTGGCCTCGCTGGTCGTAGGGTACTCGGGCTTTGCTGTAGCCTGGCTTTCCCCAAGGCCGGCAGCTTCTCCTGGCAGACAGGCACATGACTGGTAATTCTCAATTCCTGGGCCTCCCTTCCAGCTTCAGCTTCACCTCCACAGCTTCCCATGTCACCCTCTCGGGGACTCTCACCCACTACATTTTGGTTGACCTCCCGGACCTTCCACTGTAACCTGGTAGGAGCCTCCCAAGACCCCTTAACTCCAGCCTTTTGCATTCCTGAAGAAGCAGCACCAAGCAGACGACTCCAAGGTCTGCTGCAGCTTGAGCAGAGCTGGGCTCCCTGTCACCCTGCCTAGAGGGCCTCTGAGTGTCTGGACACCATGCACAGTGAGAGGATTCTGCTCACACAGGGTGCCTCCAGGATCTCTTCTCAAAGGACTTTTCCTTCTTATATGCTTGGCCCTACAATGGATATGGTCTGATAAATTCCTGAGATGTCCTCAAGCCATCTTTCCTAGTGTCTCTGGGCAAAATACTCAGCATCTCTTAAGGGGCTTTATCTCTTTAACAACTACACCCTCTTGTCCCCATGTTTACACACACTTTTCTGATCAAATTGCAAGTTGTAAAAAATCCTTCAGTTCTGCTTTCTGCTCCCAGTTCTCATAGTAAACCTGGCTAAAAGCTGCCAGCAAAATCCATGCTGCTGACTAAATGCTGGGCTGCCTTGAAATTTCCTCTGCCCGATTAATCAGTCCTTCACTTTGAAATTCAGCCTCACAAGTCTTAGGACATGGGCAAAATGTAGATGAATTTCTTTCTTTTTTTAAATCTTTTTTCCAGAATAGAACAAGAGTGGTCTCTATTCCAGTTCCAAATACGATCCTTGTTGCCCTGTGCCACCTCCCGAGCAGTCTTACAGTCTTCACTGTCTGCATTCTGGTCTTCGGAGCTCCCACCAGAATCACCCATTCAACTCCACTTATAACACTCTAAGCTTCCCCAGCTTGCATTTCTAAGCTTCTCCAAACTCTTCTGGAAATCCGTTCCAAAGGCTCTGAACCACATGGTCAGATTAGTCACAGCAAAGACCCCACTTCTCAGTACTGACTTCTTGTTCTAGTCTGCTTCTTGTTGCTATGACCAAAACACCCGACAAGAGCGATTTCTGTGGTAGTCGGCTGCTCACCACTGTGATCGGAGTACACAACAAGACCGATTTAGAGGATGAAAAGTATTTTTGCTGGGGGGTTCAGAGGTTTCAGTCCACAGTGGTCGATTCTATTGCTCTGAGCTGCAGGTGAGACAGAACCTGCAGTGCAGGGTGAGTACTGCTCACCTCATGGTGACCAGACAGCAGAAAGAGCCAGGGGAAGGGGCTTCAGGGAGAGTACACCAGGGCAAACCTCCAGTGACCCCCTCTTTCAGCTGTGGCCCACCTGCCTGCAGGGACCACAGTCAGTCCGTTCAAACTAGGATGAACTAAGTGACAGCTCTCATCATCCAATAATTTCACCTCTGAATATTCCTGAACCAACACAGGAGATTTGGAGGAACACCTCATTTCCAAACCCTGAAAGGTCCTTCCAGGGGCCCTTCTCCGTGTCTCTCTCCATGCCTTCCCGGTATCCTGTGGGATGGTGGCAATGACCCCATGCACTGTCCAGGAGGGTCTCCCAGAGCACCCTGCCCACTCAGCAGGCCTCGGTGCCCACTCCCCTTCCCGCTCCTGCAGGAAGGTACCTGTAGGTCCAGTTTGGCACCTCCTTCCTCCCTCCTCTGCCCTCAAGCCCCCGGTGTGGGGCGAACATGGGGAGCCCTTCCTGGCTAAAGGGGAGGCGCCGAGGGGGTTGGCTGGAGTCAGCATCCTGGGGCACACCCCCCTCCCCTTGCCCTCCCTGTGGCAGGGCACCCAGGTCTCAGGCCACGAAAGACAGGAGCTGAAAGTTCCCCTGAAGAAGCAACGCCGCCGGAAAAAAAGGAACAAGAAACTGAAAAAACCAACGAAAAAATAAAGCCCAGTGGTAGGTGTGCCTAGGAGAAGAGGAGGAGCGTGGTCAGGAAGGGACCAGTCGCAGGACAGAACCTGCGGCAAAGCCAGCGAGGGAGAAGTGAGACAGAGGGAGACCAGGCCAGAGGGAGACCAAGGCCCAACAAGACCCCGCCCAGGGGTCCCCATGCCGTCCAGGCCTGCCGCTCCAGAGTAGTCCCTGCAGGCTGCTCCTCCCGAATGCCTGCAATCTGTGCATCTACCTGTGCACGGTTAACCAACACCCCAAAAAATGTATTATTAAAAATGAGATACGGCATTTGAAGACACCTGTAAATCAGGGGACTGCCCAGTGCTTTCTACTGATGCGGTGACGAAGACCTCCCAGCACCAGATCCCATCTTGAGATCACCAGACCGAGATCCTCCCTCCACGTCTCTCCCTGCCCACCCTCACCAGGCTTCCTTAAAAAAAAAAAAAGAAAGAAAGAAAGAAAAGAAAAACTGAGAGTTCCACAGATGCATCTCACACCCTCGAGATGCCCTGCTTCTCCCGAATGCATATTCACCTCCTCAATAAACCTCTGTTTGGGCCTTTGACTGGTACGTGCTGAAATTCTGTCACATAAGCCAAGACCCCCGCTGGTCCTGAATGAGCTCCTTTCTCTCTTGGGACTCCTTTAGAGACACCTCTTCTCCTGCGACATTAGGTTTGCAGACACGGTTGCTGAAATACATAAAACAAAAGTTGTAATAAGTGCCAGGGATACATGTGGAAAACAGCATTAGGGCAGATAAGGCAGCACCCATGGGAGAGGGCAGCCTTTGGGATCTTGTCATGTCAGCTTCTCTTGCAGAACCTACGCCAAAAACCTGTTTGGAGCAAGTAAAGCTGGGAGCAGTGCCCGTCGGGTGGCAGAGGCTGAAGGGAAGGGAGGGTGGGCCGGGTACCAAGCTGGAGCATCCTGAAGAGGGGATCCTGTGCCCTGGCACTCAGAGACACGTTGCTTCTTTGTCACCCCCCACCCCCCAGATCAGGTGCTGCTCAGCAAGGGTCAGGCCAGAGTGGGCAGCACCATGGAGCCTGCCACCCACCATGCCAGCAGGAAGCTAGTATTTTCTCAAAGTCAGAGGAGGAAACTGCTGTGCCATCCCGAGGCCTCACTCTTGCTCCTGCTTCGACACTGAGGTGGCCCTGGGACCTGCTGCTGGGCCTTGATCAACACCTTAACGGGAGAGGCCACTGTTCACTGTATGACCAAGTGGACTTTGTATTGCTTTGGTCACTGGATTTCAACATCACTGGTTTTCTTTGTAATCTGGTGCATTTTATTTGGGGTGCTTATCAGCCAGGTTGTGAAAGGGGCTCCACCAGGCTGCCGGAGGTGTCCAAGGACACAAAGGCCTGGGTCCCACCCGAGAGGGGGCAGGAGGGAAGGAGGTGCTGTGCAGTCAGGTCAAGTCCTGGGCTGCTGCGGCACCTGGGGCGCCGGGAAGTCATGCTGTGGCCCTGGGCCTGTTTCCCCCTGTGTAAGCCAGGAAAATAAAAGGAGCATTCAGCAGTTGCTTGGAGGACTGTCGTGAGGGCACACACAGCAGCACTGCTGTCCCCACAGGGTTAGGGTTAGACAGGAAGTGAGGGAGGAGAGCAAGAGTGAATGAAATGACAGCACACAAATGCCCAGGTCAGATAGGCAGCCAGCCAAGGCAGGTGGGCAGGGGAAGGGCAGAGAGGGCCAGTAACCTGCAGAGAAGCCCCAGGAAGACCCACGAGTCACAGCTGAGGTCAGAGGGAGACTTACTGGACAGGTGAGACCCTGGCCAGGGGGAGCCTGACTTGGGAGAACGATCACTTAAAATCATGGGGGACCTTGTAGACGTGGACAAGCTTCAGGAACACAAGGCTGGTGCGTCTGAACCTCCCAGTGCGTCTGAACTTTACAATCCCTAAGGGAATGACAGGCTCCAGACCATGTCACCACAGTCTCTTGTGACCAGATCACCAGGACCTCCCTTATTACCAACATCATGTCACAACTACCCCTTGTGACTGGGTCATCATGGCCCACACATAGGAAACTGGCTCAAGGCTACCCCAAGGGATAATCAGCCACTTACGGGGTCCAAGAGAACAGAACAAGATCAAAGAAGCCCAAGTCCCTTCCAGCCCCCAAATCTCCAAGGGCCGTTCCCTTCAGAGATGGTCCAGGCCATTCGGCACCTGTTCTACATGCTGATTTCTCTTATGCTCACTTTCCCAAATTCCTGCTGCCACGTGCAACTTATCTGCAATCCTTCCTGCGAGATTTTAAGAACCCTCTGCAACACCAAGACGCGCAAGACCCGGCTGGAGTAGTGCTAGAAAGAAAGTTATAACATGCAACAGATTCAGCCAGGGGTGGAGGAACATGCCTCTATCCCAGTGACTCATGAGAACAAGGCAGAGGGATCGCAAGTTTGAGACCAGCGTGGCAACTTTGTGAAATTCTGTCACAAAATACATAGAAATTGAAAGGGCCAGGGATGTAGCTCCAAGGTAGAGCACTTTCCTAGCATGTGTGAGGCTCTGGGTTCCATCCACAGTACCATGAATACAGACAAAGAAAAGATGAAAAACTAGAGGTGTACTGTGAATAATGTGTTTATTTAAAATCATAAACCCCCAAACCTAGATGAAATAGATAAATTCCTTGAAAAATGTGTAACACTCAAACTGGGGGCTACGGTTTGGTTATGGATTTGGATTTGAATTTGGATATGGATTGAGCAGCAGGGAAGGCAGGTCCACGTGGCCCTTGGGTCCCACCCATCTTTCCAAGCCCTTATTCTTGTAGAATGGGACTGTCTACTCTGGGCCGCCTTCTATTGGTGACACTTAGTCACCCTGTCTCCACCGGATTATCCAGAAGACAGTTTCTCAGATGTTCCTGCCCTTGACTTTTGTTCGGGGGAGTCCTGGTCAGGGCCTGTGAGATGCCCCTCCTCTGGGATGGGCCTGCTTCTCTCCTGGTGAGCCGGGGGCACGGGTCTTTGGAGGAAGGCAAATGGGCAGTGGTATGTTCACCACATCATGTCAAGGGGGCAGCCTACCAACAGGACAATCGCGGTCTATTGGGGGCCTGGCAGAGGCGTCTTCCCTGGGAAGCCACGCCCTGCCCTCCCCACACTGTGCTCTGTGGAAGGACGGCCTCCGTCCAGCCCAGGGGAGCCCTTCCTGGAGGCATGCACAGATTTACTTGGAGTTCTACCTGGACACTTGCCTCCTGCCACGTGCTCATCTATTTATGTTAGCGTGGACTCGTGGGTACCCATTCTCCACTGGAGCTTTAATCCAGTACTCTGTTATTTATTTTGTGGTACCATCTGGGCCAGCTCTGGCCGCTGGGAGCTCCTGATCTCACTGGCACCCGCGTCCTCTGACACACCCCCTCCCTGGGTGCTGGAGCTGCTCTTACTTCCTGGCTCTGAAGAAGCTGCAGGCTCATCCTGTGCACTTCCTGGCCCAGCCCTGGCCCCAGCCATCCCCCCAGGGAGCCCTGGCTCCTGGCACTGGAGGACCTGGTTAGACACCCAGATCTGGGTGCAGGTGTGGTTTGTGTGTGTCCCCTACAGGCTCACACACTGGGAGCCTGAGAGGTGGTGGTGGCCAGAGCTGGCACCCCTCAGAGGTGGGTTCTAGTGGGAGGTGAGTAGGTCACAGGAGCATGTGGTTCTTAGAGACCCCTGTTTGTTCTCATGAGAGCAAGAGGTCATAAAGCAAGGCCACCCCATGTGCTTGATGTGGCTCATCATGGTGGCCCAATCTTAGACTTTCAGACTCCAAAACCATGAGCTAAATAAGTCTCTTTTCTTTATAAAGATCCCTGCTTTGAATATTTGGTTACAGCAACAGAAAACGGAGTAAGACAGTGTGTTCATACTAAGCTCTGCGTAAACACATGTCTATATGTAGTTCTGTGTGACCATCTGTCTATTTAGACTAAACATGAATTGGCGCCAATGTCTCGGGCTCTAGTCCATCCCACGTGGACCCTGCTTGCCCCTACCTTGGTCATCTGCATCTCCCTCTCCAATGGAGGGGCCTGAGCCCTCCATCCACCTGTTGCCGAGTTCCAGTGCAGCAGTGGCCCACCCTACAGGAGGCAACAGTGCTAGCCCGCATGCCTCACTTTCAGTTTTCAATTTCTACTCGTTCCTGAAAAGACTTGGGGTAGCTCCTCCCTGGCGCCCCTGGGAGGCTGTTCCCTGCACTTGTGAGATTCTCTGCCATAGCCTGCCCTCTTCCTAGGACCCTCACCTCTTACTAGGTCTTTAAACTTGCTGTCAGTAAGGCTCAGCCTTTTGCTGTAAGGCTATGTTGACAGGCATAGTGTCACTGACCCCATTCCAATGACATGCGGAACAGTTTCACTGTCCCCCAAGTCCCCTGTGCTCCACCTGTCTTAACACCCACTCCCTCTCTGCCCCCAAGGCCCTGGCTATCACCAATTTGTTTTCATTTCATTTCATTTTTATTGTTTAGCAGTGCTCCGCTGGAACCCAGGACTCACACCTGTTAGACAAGCACCACGTCTACACCTACCGCCCCCAAATGTACTTCTGTGGTGGATTTTTGGTGAACAGTTCACCTGTGAGGGAGGCTTCACCTGCCCCTATCTGCCAGATTTTTAAAAAGTCACAAATGTATCACTTGAAAAGAACAATACTTTTTGTCCTGTGATCTATGCACATGGGATGTGCCTTGACTGGTTCCTGAACTCCCAGGAGGACCCCTTAGATCTATGGGGAGCCAGCAGGAAGGACCTTCGCATTCCAATCAGATGCTCAGGGAGGACTTTTAAAAGGGCTCCGTATAGAGTGTGTGCAGGGAGCGCCTGCCTCGGGCTGGCAGGGCCCCCTGATGGGGAGAGGAGTTTCCCCCAGGCCCAGGAGTGCTGTGGGGAGAGGCACACCCCGAGGAGCCCTGCCATTTGAGGGTGGCCCCCTGCAACCATTCTATAATTCCAGCAGAGTGGACAGAAAGAATACTCAATGTGATTCGGGCTCCTATTTCTTTTTTTCCACTTTTAAAGAAAATGATGAATGTCATCTAGATTTTACATCCAGGAATACAGGTCAAAAAGCATCTAAGACGACTTGGAAAATGACCCAGGCGAGGGGCTTGCTGTCCCCCCATGGTAGGATGCAAGACCTGGACCCAGGCGTGGAAGGCCTGGGGTGGGGGCAGGGACGGGGTGGGGTTGCGGACCCGGGCGGGGACGGGGTCAGGACGTACGGGGTCTGCGCTCCACCCCGGGTGGCTGGAGCCAGTGCGAGCCCAGGGTGAGCGGCTGGGCCTCCGCCTCCGCTGGCCACCCCAGCTCCCCCGCCAGGGGAGTCCCCGCAGCGCCAGCCGGACACTCCTCGGTGCTCCCCTGGCGACGCCGCCGCTCCAGCGACCTCCAGCGAC